GAGTGTGTTAGTGTATTGCTAACGACATCACTTAGTATGTTTTTTGCAGCTGATTTAAGATGAGGCTTGGCAATGCTGAATCCACGCTTTAGTAATGGTATGGCCATTCGAAAGAGACCCCTGAATAAACCGCCCAAACCAGCTCCATACATAACACCGCCCCCTGCATAACCAGGGAGGCCATTACCAGCCTGATTTTGGTAATAGGCCACATATTGCTCAGGATCCATTTTGTATGTGTTGGAATACGGCATTATTTATTTTTAAAAAACACTCTGTTTCACGGGTCTGAAGTGTAACTTAGCACTCAATTTTCCCGTAAGTAAAACGTGCATTTTGATTCTGATCGTCTTTTACCTCTATGGTTATATCTGTAATGGTTGTTTCATTGACCGGTACGTAATGTGCCTTGTGCTGGACTCTTTTTACTGTGATCCGCAACAACTCAAAATCTTGTGTCAGGAGCTATGCTATCCCACTCTGCAATGTACAAAGGGTAGTCACCACAGTCATTCAAATCTCTCCAGATGTAGTTGTAGAATAACCACCAGTCTTTGTCAGGGAAAATCAGACAGGGTTCCTGCATTGTAAAATTGTCTTCAATATCCGTAGCATAGAGCTTCACAGTCCGCATCACTTTGTCAAACACATATCTCCCGACACGATCACCAGACATTGAGAAATCACGAGTCATCATATTCATCTCTTCATGAAGAAACTTTGTCAAAATTTTTCCTTGGTGCAAAAGTCAGTTCCTTTCTCATTTCAGCAGGTTCTCTTGTTGGTGAAATACACATCACTCTTCTAGCAGTTTTAGGAGTTTTTGGAGCAGCGGCAGGATGATCATACAGTAATTTCTCAATATTGTAGTGAATTTTATAAAAATTTGCATACATCTAATTACTCTCAGGTGTCAGCCTATGCCTTTTTGAATTCGTTGCAGATTAAACCTATTAATAGAACTGAAAAGGAACGTTGTGATAGACCTGTTACAATTTGCGAGCTGATGGATGCAATTAATCATTTGAAAAATTCCAAATCACCAGGTACTGATGGTTTGACATCAGAGTTCTATAAATTATTCTCAGAGGAACTGGCTCCCTTTCTTTTAGAGGTTTTTGTTGAAAGCATCAAAAAACAGTGTCTTCCACCCACTTTAACACAAGGTTTAATTGTATTGCTTCCCAAACCAAATAAAGACAGACAGTATATTGATAATTGGCGCCCTATTTGTTTATTAAATAATGATTATAAACTGTTGGCCCAAATTTTAGCTAGAAGATTGAAAACAATTTTGGATTCAGTAATTGATGAATCACAATCAGGATTCATGAAAAATCGGCACATAACAAATAATATACGATTCGTTTTGGACATTTTGGATTACTCGGATCTGATTAATGATAATGGCTTTATATTATTTTTAGACTTTTGTAAAGCATTTGATTCTATAGAACATCAGTTTATCCTTGATACTCTAAAGAAATTTGATTTTGGTCATTTTTTTTCTACAGCAATCGAAACTCTTTACAAAAATGGCAACTGTTCTATAAAGCTATTTAATGGTACTTCCCCTAGATTTGACATCTCTAAAGGAATTAGGAAGGGGTGCCCAGTATCTCCACACCTCTTTTTGTTAGTAAGTCAGCTTCTTTCCTCTCATATTAAATCAAGCCCACTGAGGTATCACTATTGTTGATAGAGAGATAAAAATTACACAATTAGCAGATGACACTACACTTTTTATTCAAAATGAGAATCAGATATCTGTGGCAATTGATCTAATTGGCGAATTTTCAAGAGCATCTGGGGTATACTTAAATTTGACTAAGAGCTTATGGCCATAAAGGAATGTCTCGAAACTAGCTATGATGGTGTTCCCTTAAAGAGTGAGGTTCAATATCTTGGAATATTGATAACCAAAGACCAGAAAAGAAGGTGCTTGCTAAATTTTAGTCCTATCATTGAAAAAAGACAAAAAAAGTTCAATCATTGGCTAATAAGAGACCTCTCTTTAAGGGGTCGAGTTTTAATTACAAAGGCAGAGGGTATTTCTAGACTTATTTATGCAGCAATGGCTTTACATCTTGATAAAAAACTATGTAAAGAAATTGACAAAATATTGATTGACTTCATTTGGAAAAATAAAATACATTACATAAAGAAGACAGTTATTATGAATTCATATGAAAATGGTGGCTTAAATGTTTTGGACTTTGCTACATTAAATAATACATGTAAGGTTAATTGGCTTAAACAAATTGTTACAGATCCTAATTCCATTTGGTGCTTTATTCCCTCCCATATTCTATCAAAATTTGGTGGTATAAATTTTTTTCTTAGCTGTAATTATAATATTGATAAAATACCAGGAAAACTAGCTGAATTTCATCGTCAGGCCTTTTTATCATGGTCTTTGATCCACAAGCACAATTTTTCACCTCATAGGTACTATATATGGAACAATATGGATATATTATATAAACACAAATCGCTTTATCTAAAACACTGGTTTGATAAAGGCATCATATTGGTGGATCAGTTATTTAATTTTAATGGTTTTCTTTTTACTTATGGTGAGTTTTTGGCACATTATAAGATTCCTGTTACACCAGGGGACTATGCTAAAGTTTTTGGGGCTGTTTCTCCTGAAGTTTGTATGTTATTTAGACATCAGACAAGAATTAACATCCAACAGTGGTCTCTGCCTAATATAATAAGTTCTTATATAGGTAACATCTGTTTTTCTCTTAAATCACACAACAGTTCCGTAAGAGCTTTATTTCAACGAGACATTGTGTCTTTGCCTTATGTTTATTCATATTGGAATCGCCTGACAGACAATATTGTTTGGAAAAAGGTTTGGTTAATACCTAATCAATATTTAATTACAAACAAGGTTAAGGAAGTATCATTCAAAATTATACACAGGATTTACCCAGCCAAATATTTGGTCAAATTTAAATCTGATATTGATTTTAGTTGCTCCTTTTGTGTCAGTTGTCCTGAAACTGTGGTACATTTGTTTTGGCAAAATGTATGTAATTTTATTGTACAAAATATTGATAATCATTTTGTTTTGTTATGAAAAGATGTATTATTTGGTATATTGGAGAACAGCAAAGAAAAGCACAGTCACGTTTACATGATAAATCTTATTTTTTTACATGCAAAATTTCATATTCACAAATGTAAGTTCTCATGCAAAAAAAATATTTTTTTTTCTTTTAGGAAGGAAACGGAGCATTATATTGATACTATACGATTTTCTATGAAACAAAACATTTGGTGTTTTATTCCCTCCCATATTCTATCAAAATTTGGTGGTATACATTTTTTTCTTAGCTGTAATTATAATATTGATAAAATACCAGGAAAACTAGCTGAATTTCACCGTCAGGCCTTTTTGTCATGGTCTTTGATCCACAAGCATGTATAGTGTTTGTCATATACATGTATTTTGATCTTGTTAATAAAAAAAAATTTATTGACCTATTAAGATTTTGCTTGCATCTACATTGTACATGTATTTTTTTTTGCCATTTTATTACATTTTTTTACATTTACATTTAATGAGGACTTACAAACGAGGACATTTGGCACATTATAAGATTCCTGTTACACCAGGGGACTATGCCAAAATTTTTGGGGCTGTTTCTCCTGAAGTTTGTATGTTATTTAGATATCAGACAAGAATTAACATCCAAAGAGCAATGATACGCAAGTGCTATAACAAGTCTCAGTTAGCTTAGGTTTCATAATTTACAAAGAAAATATAAAATAAATTTTTTTTTACTTCAATTTTTAAAAGAGTCAAAAATATACTTTTAAAAACAATGGAAACAAATACAAAAATTATTACTCTCTTCAACTCTGTGATGTGCACATTAATCATGTTATGCAATAAATCAAATATTATGTATCAGCGTTTTTCTATCAAAAGAGTTTTTAGTTTGTATTGAAATTATCATTTCATTTGCTGCTTTTTTAAATTTCAGCTCATTTCTTGTGTGTAATTATTTGTATTAACAAAAAGATCATGAACCCTGGAGTCAGTGGAAAGTTTGTCCTAATTACTGGAACTGAAAGATTAATTGCCTGTAAACCGTAAGCACGACTGATCCACAGCTGCAATAATTGTTTATGTTCATTAGAGAAGCAAACCCCTTTTTAACCCTTTCCAACTGTTAAGCTTATTTGGAATTTACAACATGATCTACAAAATACAGTATCCTGGAAAAGGGAACATTTCTTTATTAGGGTTCCTTGCAGATATTGTATTCCAGCAAACGTAGAAGCTCAGTTACCAAAGAATCATATCATATTAATCAGAGAAGAAAGAGGTTCTTGGATAGGGATGAAAGAGCACTGAAGATGTGGGGAATGGTGTCATAACAAGTCCAGCAGCATTCCCTGTCCAGCATCAGGAAACTCCAGAGTTAAACCGGACAGATATGTGAGGACTTGCCATCAACTCAATGTCAAGAAGGGCCAGGGCAATATAATTAAAGTTATGGAGGACATACACAAGTTTGTTGAATTTAATCAAGGATGTGCTCATTTCTGCAACCCTTCATTGAAGCCAAATTGCCAAATGTGCTTATTTTACAGATACTGATGACTTATTTTTCTGCTTCTTTATGTTTAAAAATGTGACTTTTGTCATCTCCCCATGAGTTGTAATAGTGAAGAAATAAAATCCCAGATTGAGAACCCTTCCTATTTTCATTTTCATATATTTAAAAAATAAACAAATAAATAAATAAATCGCAATTCAATATGTAAATAGACGTAAGACGGACTACTTAAGGTTTTACCGTTGACGGTAAAAATTATTTATAATATTTATATTTAATTATTATATTTAATTTAGATCATTTCAGTGATTGTCAGGGATTTAATCTGATTTATTTTATTTTTTTTTCTGACGAAACATTCACTAAAGATTACACGTCTGGGGCTTTTATTATGGAAAGTGACGCTCGCCTGAGTCCGGCGTAGCTCGGTGTTTCCGGCAGTTGCATCATTTCCGCTGTTTCTGCTCACCGGTGAGGGTCCGCATGTGAGTCCATCTGACACTTCTTCTTCATTCAAAACTTACACACACACACACATATATATATATATACTCGCTGCTCTGTGCTTATGGACACATATCTAGAGAAAGACGATCAGAACTGCGTGATGACGCTGTGAGCAGCGCTGCTGTATTTACTGCTCAACTACTTCATCATCATCCTCATCATCACACAACTGCTCTGTATCCGTTACTAACAGGTTTATAAGAGAGAATGTGTGTTATGAACGCGCGCGTGTGTGTGTGTGTGTGTG